ATATATATATATATAAATATATATGAAATTGAAATTTTTGTTATTATTATTATTATTATTCTAATAATTAATTTTTATTTAAAAAAAAATGATAAAAATATTTAACACATTTTGGCATAATTTTTTTTAGTCTATAAAAAATTTCATCATCATCATTTAGTTAATAATAATAATAATTAATAATCAATAATATAAATATATAAAAAAGATCACAAATAAAACAGTGCTTTTATATATATATATATATAAATTGTTTGCAAAAATTATATCTTGAATATTAGATATAATATATTATTTATATATATATATATACTTAATAAATATATATAAAAAAATTATCTAGTATATAATAATAATTTTAAAAAAAACCCTATGGTCTATTATAATAAATACCACCCTATTATCAAATAATTAATTAATTAATTAATTAATTTTATTTATTATTATTATATAGAGTTTAAATACCTGTAGTAATAGTAGTAGTAATAGTAGTTATAAGTTAGTAGTATTAATATAACTTTATTTTTATATATATATATATATATATATATATAAATGTAATAATATTAATAACATATTTTTTAATATATATATATATACCTGTATATCAAAACAAACTAATTAATAATAATAATAATAAGAAACAACGATTTAATTTAAATATATAATTTTTCTCATTAAATATAATTATTATTATTTATTTTTAAAATATATATATATAGATTTCAAACACCAAATACATAAACATATTATTAACACACATAATAATAACCAGTCATTTATATATATAATAGTAAAATCATATTATTATTTGTTTAAAAAAATTTTTTTTTTTTGAATAATCAAAAAACAATTGATTGTCAAATGATTTTTTTTGTTGCAAATAATTCATCAATAATTTCAAAAATTCAATATTTGTTTTGTTTGGCAAACAATCAATAATTGTTTTTTTAATATATTTTTTTATTAAAAATAATAATCATTACCATTAAACAAAAATGATCTGGGTATTTATGTGTGTGTTGCAAATAATAATAATAATTTTAATCTACTTTTTTTTTATAATAAATAAATAATTAAATGTATATTTAATAAATATAGGCAGTTTAAATGTTATATTGGTATTAATAATTCAATTGAATTATTAATTTTTTAATTAATTACTTTTTTTAATAATAATAATAATGTATTTTTAAATTGATTGACACCTAATATATTAATATATATAAAAAAGGCTATCGATTTGATAATTAATAAGACAATCAATCAATTAATTAATAAATAAATATTATTATAATATAATAATAATAATAATAATAAACGACAGTTAAATTTTTTGTTTGAGCTAATTGTCAATAATATTAATAATAATAATATTAATAAACATCGATTAGAAAAATTCAAAACAATTATATATATATATATATTAAATATATATTTTTTTGTCAAATTTTTGTTTTAAAAATTAAATATTTATCCAATAGAGACCCACAATTGCCTGATATATATATATATATATCTATAAATATTGAGATAATAGCAATAATTTTTTAGCAATTATTTTTTGAATTATTTTTTTGTTGTTTTTAATGGATCCTTAAATACTGACAAATATATAATAATAATAATAATAATATACGATATATACTGTGTATTAATTATATATATAGAGTTTTGGTGCAAAAATTTTTTTTTGTTTTTAATTGATTGATATATATATATAATAATAAAAATAATAACAATTTTTTTAAATATATATATATATATATTTATGTTTGAAATATAATTTGTATTATATTTTTCATATCTTTCATTTTCGCGCCATTAAATTGATATGCATTTCGCAGAAATTAAAATCAAAAAAAAATAAATAAAAAGTTTTAGATGTCTTTATAAATGTTTAATAATAATAATAATAATATTTAAAGAAATATATATATATTTTTTTATTACAAAATTGAGACCAAAAAAAAGTTTGTTTTATAAAATAATAATAATAATAATAAGTGGCAGCTATTTTGCAAAACAAACTAATTATTATAATAATAATAATGAAAAACAATTTTTTTTTTTTAGTTAAAAAGCTATAGTTTTATGACTAGTAGTACAGGAAAGGCTTGAAATACAAAATAATAATAAATAGTTGTTTTAAATAATAATAATAATAATAATACAAATAATTGTAGCCAAAAAAAACAATAATAATAATAAATTGGATAACATTTGATTAAATAATAATTAATAGTAATAATAATAATAATAATTAATAACAACTTATTATAATAATAATAATCATAATAAAAAAAATAACTAAATAATTTATCAATAATTAAAAAACTAATAATAATAATAATAATAACATTAATCAATAAATCAAAAAAAAAAAAAGTTATAAATCTATTATATAGTATTTTGATAGAGAAAAAAACAACGATAAAAATGGTGCAAAAAATTGAGACAACATTTTTGTTTAGTTTTTTTTTAAAATAATAATAATATATATATCATAATAATAGTAGAGATTAATAAAAAATAGTAGTTTTGTTTTTAGTTACTTAAATAGTTATCAATGAAATAGTATTTAAAAAAAAAATTTTTTTTTTTAAAGTATAATAAGCAAATAATTTTCTAAATAATAATAATAATAACAAAAATACAAAATAATTCATTTAATTCATTCATTCATTCAATCATTTTGGTGGTCAATGTCTCGGATATTATTATCAATTTTTTTTCATTAATTAATTTTTTTATTTTTAATAATAATAATAAAAACAATTTGATTGACTAGCAATTGTTAACACAATATATAGAGATATTTATTTATAATCAGATAATAATAATAATTTATAACTAAAAAAAAAAATTAGTTTTAGTCATCAATTTTTAATGGTTTGTTGTTTTTTTTCAACTAAAATACTAACTTTTTTTTAAAAAAATTATTCAACTAAACTAAAAAATTACGTATCAATAATCAATAATAATAATTAATAAATAAATAAATTAAAAGCAAACAAACAAACAAAAAAAAGTATTTTTCATTATTATTATTATTATTATTATCTAAAAATTAAAGACATTAAAGACCAGAAAATTATAGTTTTTTTTTAATAAAAAAGTAGTTCAATAATAATCAATAATAATAATAATAATATTTAATAACAATTATCAAAATCCATATCAATTATAATAATAATAATAATATAAAATCTCATCTAAAGATAGATTATATATATATATATATATATATACGACACATAAAAACTTACTAACAATTTGTATTATAATTTGTTTTTTTCATCAAATATATATAGAAAAGTATTTATTTTTATTATTTATTTTTTTTAGTTTAATTATTGCTTTTAAAAAATGTGTTTTTTTATTATTATAATTATATGTCGACAGCAATGAAAACAAAACGATTATATAAATTTCAATTAGAAATAATTGTAATAATAATAATCAATTAATTAATTAATTATTATTATAAAAAAATTTGCATTACTTTTATCGCTTTGATATATCAATTGATAGATATATTTTGTGTAACTATTGAGAGATTTTAAGAGGACAACAAAATTTTTAGTATCAAAATTGATTTGTTTTTCATTTAAATTTAAGAAATATTTAGCATTTTTTCAGTATTTAAAAAAATTATTATAATTATAAAAAAAAATCTCTCGCAATGTCGTTATCAATCAATTTTCTGAAATATATATTTATATATATATATATATAAACACAACAAACAAACAAACAAAATAATAATAATAATAATAATCAAAAAACAAAAAACAGTCGATAATATGTATCATTAAAAAAATAAATAATAATAATACCCTTTAAGAGATAGAGAGAGAGATAGAGAAACAAACAAAAAAATTATTATTATTATTATTAAAATATATGTTAATTAATTAATTAATTACTTTGCAAATCAATCAATCAATTTATAATAAAATTTCAAAAAGTCAAATATACAATAATAATAATAATAATTAGTATTATTATCATATAATATAATAATTGATCCCTTAATTCTGAGTCTAGAATTTAATCATTTAATATATCAATCAATTATATATATAGATATATATATATATAGAAAACAAATCTACAAATTTTTTTTCATCAATAATATAATTCAACGATAATTTGGCGCTAAATATACATATATATATATAATAATCAATTCAATAGATAATAGCAATAATAATAATAATAATAATAATTTTTTGTTATATATATATAAATACATCATTAGATTATATAACGATATTAAAAAAATTGAGTTTCTGATCATAGAGTTTGCTAATAATAATAATAATAATAACTAATAATTATAATAATTTAAAGATTATTGATTAGTGATATTGATTTTTTTTGATCGTTAATTTAAGACTAAAAAAATGTATGTTTTTTTCAAACATTAATTAAAAACAAACAAAAAAATTAATAACAAAATCAACAAAAAAAACTACTAATTCGTGGTTTGATATATACGATAGATGTCTTCAAATATCAATTATTTCTTATTTTTTTTAGTATCAGTTCCGAGTCTTGTGTGTGTGTGTCTCCTAACTCATGAGTTTTTTCTTAAAAGGAGACATTACTTCAACAAAAATTTTTTTAAAAGAGTTGTCATAATAAAAAAAAAACAAAACAAAAGTTGTCGATAGGATAGGTGTGTTTGGATAGTATAGGTATAGATATATAGAGTATAGTTAGGATAGAGGACACACACATTATATAATTAATTAATTAATAATTTGCGAGTCAATGATATATATATAATATATATATACTACTAATAGATAGATAACATAATTGTTTTGTCGAAAAACTCATTACTTTTTTCTTAAATATATAAAAAAATGCAAAAAAATGTATGTATTTGTTATGAGAGAGTGTATGTATGTATTAATGTATGTATAGATAGATAGATGTGTTTTTTTAAAATGTATTTTTGCATTCAATGGGCATTGCATTTGCTAATTATTTCACATATATATATATAATTATATATATATATATATAGATATACTGTTTGTTTGTTGGTGTAAATGTGTGGTATATGACTGTATGTGTCTGTCTATCTGTTCAAATCAAATCAAACGGTTTTTTAGTATCTTAACAAATACCAGATGCGGCCACAGCTGCCGCCAGCGACTGTAGCTGCAGATAGCGGTAGATATAGATTCGGTAGTCTTTCGATGCCAGTACCACACTGTTGTCGTCCATGAGGGCAACATCAAAACACTGGGCATGTTTGACTTTGGATTCAAGTGCATTGACCAGACAGCCGTCCTGGGTGAAGATCGTTATGTTGAAATTGTTATGATTGTCGGCAACCAGTATTTCGCCCGATTCGTTGATGCAGACACCGATCGGATAGTTGGTCAGACCTTCGCCGCCAATTTGGCGCAAAAAGTTGCCGTCATATGAAAACACTTTGACACAATGGGCCCGATTGTCGCTGATAAAGATTTCTTGTTTATCGTTAACAACGACACCGTTGGGGAACTCCAGATGTTTACTGCAACCGAATTTCTGGAGGACATTACCCACTTGATCGAAGATTATGACACGCATCACCTATATTAGTAGTAGCAGCACCGGTAGTATATGAGGGGGTGGGAGGAGTAGGAGAAAATCAAGGGATCAGTTAAGGTGACAAACAAACCAACCGATCAATCAATCCAATACATACCTTGCATTCGACAACAATAATACGTCCCTTATTGTCGACGGTAACGCCGCGCGGATGTTGCAATATATTGGCTCCGAACTTGCGGACAAACTGGCCATATTGGTTATAGATTTGAATCTGATGTGTCGGCGATCGTTCGGTAACTATTATGTCGCCCGACTGTTTGACTACGGCTACCCGATTCGGGTACAGCAGTTGGCCGTCACGTTTGCCGCATTCGCCAAACTGGAACTTAAAGCGGCCCTCTTTGTCGAATATCTGGATCCGATGGTTGTTAGTGTCGGCCACAATGATATCGTTTTGGGCATTCACGGCCACACCTATGTTTGGTTTGCCAGACACGACAACAACAACAACAACAAAATTATTAGATAATAAAATAAAAACCAAAAAAAATAAAAAATAGCAAATCGTTCAAAAATTTTTGTTATTATTTCTTTCAGTCTCTCTCTCTCTCTGTCTCTGTATTTCAATGGTAAGCCCTGTAATCACATACACATACACTTTCCGTACAGTGCATGAGCTGTAGTGTATGTGTGTGTGTGTGCGAGGGTTAGGGAACTCCAGTTTGAGAGAAAAAGCAACAAAAGAGAGACAGCAAAAAAAAAGTAACAAAAAGACAACAAAAACAACACTAAAAAAAAGTGCAACAAATCTTTTACCGGAAGGTTCGGTGAACTGTCCCTCCATTACCCCGAACTCGCCGAACTTGCAATGATATATCATCTTCTGGCGTTTGATTTGCGATTTGATTGGTAACAATGATGAAGCAGAGATCAATTTGGATGACAAGTCTATGACGGGATCGGATAGGGCATTGAATTGTTCGGTTAGTGTCTGACCACAACCGCCGCCACCACCGTTACCGTTGAATAGGGCCGAATCGGGCGATGATGCCGAACCGCAACCACTGTTAGGGCCACCACCACCAACGCTGCCGCCGCCACCGATTGACCACTTTTCGTAGAACATGTTCAACGGGTCATTGATGGATGCCGACGAAAATGAGCGTATAGACGATGAAGACATTGATGAACCGTTAGTACCGTCACCTCCTCGATGGCCACCGCCGCCGCCGCAACCGGAATTGGTTACCGATGTGTTCGGCGTAAATCGTTTGGATAGTAGACTACTTGAACAGCTGTTATCGTTGCCGCCGTAACCGTTTTGTTTGTAGATATTACCGCCATTGTTGCCGAGTCCGCCGCCACCGCCACCACAGCTGTTGCTGCCGACGACAGACGACAATACCGATGATGATGAACCCGACAGTCCATTCGGGCGGGAAATGGGCGGCTGTTTGCCGTCACTCGATGAGGAACGGATGTAACCGAATGTGTTGCGGATACCCACCTAAATAATAATAATAATAATAATTAATAACCAAACAAACAAACAAAAATATTATATAACGGATCCAATTAATTAAATTATTTTTTTTTGTTTCATTTATATATATATATATCATATAATCATTTCATTATAATATAATATAATAAGTTTTATTTTATTTACTGGTGGGTACACTAAACTTATTCTATACTATACTATTACTTATATAATTTATTAGCTTAATTAAGCAACAATTAAGTTGAATAAACCCATAATACATAATAATAATAATAATACTGTAGTATCATTGTATTTGGCGGTATCAACAAAAAAAAATAAATAATAAATAAATATCAAAAAAAATTAGTATAAACAAAATAATTTCAATTTATAACTCTCAATGATATGATATATATTAAATACTTATGAAAACATTACTTAAATATTATTTTTTTTCAATGTTTCTCATAAAACCAACCAAAAAAAACTAAACTAAATAATAATAATAATAAAGTTTTGTGGAGTGAAACAAATTAAAACACTATTTAAAGACTAATTGTTTATATTATATAGTTATGTAATTATATATACATTTATATATACATACAGTATATATATATAAGGCTTATATTTAGTTAAATTAAATTTTTTTGGTTTTTAAGTTTTTTTTTTGATTATTATTATTCAATTTTCCAATTAATTATATCTTATAAGTATATGTGTGATTAACCCTAACTTTTTTTTGTTGTTGTTGTTGGTTACAAATGATACTAATGTATGATAAATTTATTTATTTTTTTTAAAAAAAAATAATAACAAAATATAAATACAAATCCTATATAAAAAAAAACATTTGCCTAATAATAGACTAATCATCTAATCTTTTACTGTAATATATATAACGACTGGGAAAACAATACAATTTATTGTATTAATTATATACTTATATTAAGTTTTAGTATATATACAGTATATATATAACCCAACAATAAAATTAAACTAAAAAAATATATATACATTAATCTATTACATGTTTGAAAACTTATATATAAATTATATATTGTTTAAATGACTGCACGTTTTATTAAACAATTATTACAACAACAACAACATATAGTTGATAATATAAATGAATAATAATAATACAGAAAAAATAAATAAATAAATATAATTTATATCTCTATATAACAACAACTACTATATATATACAATAAATATATCATAAATTTCAGTTTAATGCCTACTATTGCAATGTCAATGACAACTACAACTACTACTACTACTACTACTACTACAACAATAACCACAGTGTCATTGTTTAGTGAATATTAAACCTCAAACAAGTCATCAACTTTTCTCTCTCTCTCTCTCTCTCTTAAATTATGCCATTTATTAATGAAGTTTTTTTCTTTATGAGAGAGCTATAGGAGAGAGAGAGAGAGAGACTATAAATCGCGTGACAAAAAGTTATGACATAAGAGAGAGAGAGAGAGAGAGAGATGAGAGAGTAATATATAAATAAAATATATATATAATAAAAAAAAATAAATAGTTTGAAAACTACTTTTCAAATTTCAAGTCTTCACAATTTTTTTTTTAATATTATTACTATTTTTAATGTTAACTATTGGCAGTTTCAACCAACAAAAAAAACAAAACTAAATAAGTGAGTGACTTATACTGTCTGTATATATCATATAAATATATATATATTTTATATTTAAAAAAAACTTGAAAAACAATTTTCATCATAAAATAATACCTGGAAATTATTATTATATCTTTTATTTTTTATCAATTAATATAATATAATATAAATAACTAACTAATTATTACTATAACTAAATGATAAGCATTTACTCTCTCTCTCTATTATCTTTAAATAAAAAAAAATATTTCATATACGTATAATACAAACAATTTATATATTATTATTATTATTATTTATTTTTATGATTAAACTATAAGAGGAAATATATATATATATATTAATAATAATATAATATTAAATACCCGACTATTATTCAGCTCAATGTACTGTACTTTGCACTCAATAAATAATAACAACAAAAACACAAAAATAATATGAAAAATTAGTTTCATTTTTTTTCATATACCTTATTATATTACAAATATATATAACGTAAAAAAAACATAACACAATAATAATATATTAATAAATAAATTACTTATAATAATATACAAACAAACATATCATATCACATATATATATTTTTCTAGTTAATTATGATAAATATGGTAACAATTAAATTATTATTATAATAATAATAATAACCTCAAACTATTAGCCAGTAAATTGCTATTAAATATTTTTTTTTTTTTTAAACTACTAATGGGTCTCTTAAAGTTTTTTTTTATCTCCCTGTCCCCACCTCCTAGTCCCGAAAAAACTACTAATCTATGAGTAGTAGTAGTAGTAGACACACAAAAAACTCTATTTGATTTGATATCATATTTTGTTTCACACAAAGACTAATATATGTAGAAATAATTTTTTTATTTTGTGTTTCAGTTGACTTCGAGATTTATATTAGAGATTATTATAGATATTATATTTTTTTTCTCTCACTTAATGCAATTCAATTCAATTGTATGGCATATCTCTCTCTCTCTCTCTCTCTGAAAGCTAATAAAGAGAGAGAGAGAGAGGAAAACTATGCAACCGTTGGACTGTTTGGTTGTATTTGATTAACAAATATAAAGTCAATGAGAGTGTGTGTGTGTGTGTGTGATAGAGAGAGAGAGAGCGAAAAAAGTTATTATAAATATTATATTATTAATAATATCTAACTATATATATATATATATATATATATATATGAAAGTCTATGTACTGTAAAGAGAGAGAGAGAGAGAGAGAGAGAGAGTGGAAAATAACACAACATTTAATAATAATAATAATATTGTAATACAAATGCGAATGGCGAAAGAGAGAGAGAGAGAGAGAGAGAGAGATCTAAGCGGACATTAACCACAAGTTTTTTTTGTTGTTGTATTCATAATAAATAAAAATAAGTTTATAATAAATATTAAAAACTATTTCTTTATACATAAGTAATAAGGCGTTAACTCAGACACACACACACAAATACATACATACATAAGCACATACATACATAAGCAAATTCATACATAAGCTCATACAATCACACACACACAACACATACAGTACCATACATACCATACTGTAGGGGTTGTTAGACTAGACTAGACGTCCAACTAAATAAAAATTTGCACCTGGACAATCTATGGTATATAATATTATGGTTATATATAACCTAACCAACCAACCAAACAACATAAACACACTCACACAATATTTTTTTTTTTTTTTGAAATAAAAGTAATAAATTTCTAATAAAAAAAAATTCAATAACATATTTTTGACAACAAAAAAAACAAAAATTATTAGTCTATTAGTTATTATAGTGTCCACACAGTATTACAACCAAAAAAAAAATAAAATATCATTACATTTAACACTACCCTATCATCCATAACAAACATATCATATATATATAATGATAACTAACTAACAAACTTATGGACAGTAAGTATCTATATATATGTGTGTTGAATACCATTAAAAAGTTACGGTTAATGTCTATATTAAACCAAACAAACAATTTAAACGGTAAAACAAATGGTCAAAAACAAAAAAAAGTGGTCAAACAATAGTGTATTGAAGACATAACCATTAATACAACAAAAAGTTACGGTTAATGTCTATATTAAACCCAAACAAATGGTCAACAAAAAAAAAGTGGTCAAACAATAGTGTGTATTGAAGACATAACCATTAATACAACAAAAAAGTTACGGTTAATGTCTATATTAAACCAACAAACAAAACAATTTACGGCAACAAACAAAAAGTGGTCAAACAATGGGTTTACCTGAATAGCCTGATAGTTGGACACAAACTCCAGTTCATGTGATGGTATGTTGGCGTCGGGATTGAAATTGATGATAGCCTGCAGTTTGTCGTCGATGAGGGACTTGCACTGTAGCATTTCGCCGGGTGCGGCAAACTTGCGGCTACGGTCGGCAAACATCGATATCTGTTGGGTCTCGCGTACGGCTTCTTCGACTTTCGACGTCAATAGGGTCAGCGATACCATACGTGAGTTGAATATGTCGTCCAATTCTTTCAGAAACTCTAGTTTAGTCTCTTCCAGTGTAGACAAGTAGAACTGATAGGCTTCGCCGATCTCTTGTTGGGCTTTCTGATGCTGGATCTGTAGCCGACCGGTAACACCATCGAGAGTACCCAACGTCTGCTTCAATTCAGACTGTTTGAGTCGGCCATCATCGGCCATACGGGCCAGAGCTAACATATCGGCATTGGTTTGCTGTTGTTGTTGTTGCTGTTGCTGCTGTTGATGACAACCACCGCCGACACCGTTAAGTCCGTCCATAATATCCGAATCGGATAACATCTTTAGCTGTTGATGTATTGAATTGGTGGACAATGGCGGCGATGATGATGATGAACAGTCGTTGTGCGGACTCGAGGTATTGCTAGACGGCGATGATAGCGACATAGCCGATAGCGGACCAATCAGACAGCCGTTGTTGCTGTTGTTGTTGTGGTTGTTGGTCATCACTACCGATGACGATACAGACGACGAAGACGAACTGCTGGTTGAATTGTCGCTGGTTATCAGTTCGGCGGCCAAATCGTTGATTGTCGATAGAGAACAGGTCGACGCCAACGATACGGTCGTCGACGACGCCGAGGCCAATGTTGCCATCATTTCGGGCGAAATTTTTTTTTAATGCTTAATATATGGACAGTCTATCTGTCTGTTAGTGTCAGTAATCAATTGTCAGTAACTTATTCTTCTAACTTCTTCAATGGTATCAATGATTTTTCTCATTCAAACAAAAGCACTGGTAGTCTATATAACCCAATAAAATAAAACACAACTTATTTCTCTCTCTCTCTCTCTCTTTCTTTCAAATAAATATAACTAACTCTCTGTTAGTTTTCAAACACTACACACACAGTCAGTCCTCACTGGTCTTTGTCTGAGTCAGAGCACTGGTAGTACTGTAGTAGTAGTGTATGTGCTGTTAGTATACTGTAGTATAATATGTGAATCACATATCCCTCTCTCCC